CTTGGTATGCGTGTGTATAGGCGTGGACCCTGAGCCAGCACCACAGGAAGAGGCCCTGAGCTGCAAAGGGAAGTTCTCCCCAAGCATGAGAACAGATACAGATTTAAAAAGGAAGAGCAGCAAAGAGAAGGGAAACAACCATGGATTACAGTAAGTCACACATTACAGTATTGGTTTATGTTAAAAAAATCTGAGGGTTTAATGTCACTTTAAGTGTCATCTTTCACTGGCTTAGTAGTTTAAACTGCACATACATGAACCAGACGACGGTTAACACAGCACAAGGCTATGTAGACTTTTAAGTAGAACAAAACATTTTTTACATTGTCAACTGGATATAACTGGGCAGCCTAGTTGAAAAATGTATTGGCCCCTTTGTATTATGTACTTTGGGCCCTACAGTTAATTCTCAAGAATCACTGTCAGTCATCAGTGGGGAGGATCCCGTCAGATACGCTGCAATGTCTTCTCATTGCGGCGCTTAGCCCCGCCCACCACCATAAATAAGGGTTTACAGCCTTACTGTGCATTTTGGCTAGAGTAAATTACATTTACTTATTTAACCTAAGGAATGCATTAATAAAAAAAAAGATAGAACCCCATAGTTCTCCTTTAAGGTGACCTTTCATCTCCTGACAAGCTAAAGTCTGACAATCTTGAGTTCATGCTGTTCGGCTGATATACTAAAGGAGTGGAGAATCTTCAGTGTAAATATTTACTTAAATTATTCAATTGTGTGAAAAGGAAAGTTCCTGCTCCCTTTGTATACCCAAGTCATGCAGAGATAAGGAAGCATGAATTTGCTTTTCAGATGGTTGGATAAATGGAGAACCATTATTGAACAACAATTGAAGTGGTAAGTCAATTAGAATTTATTCTCGGCTCCTTTTAGTAAATCAGCCTCTATGACCCTCGGTTTCTCAGTGCATGGTGAGTAAAATCAGGCTTGACAAGCCAGTAACCGTCAGACTTATAAACCAGCCTTGTGTGCCTTCTGGCTCTCTCAGGGGTGCCTCAAAATTTTGTGGTAGTGGGACTGTGATGTGAAAGGGGCTCCTGATGGGCAAACTCTTATGTGAAAGGGATGGACTCTGATATGAAAGGGGTTATTGATGTGAAGGGGAAAACGCAGTGTGTTTTTACATGGGATTTCCCTTAAGTCTTTTTTAGACTGGGGAGCTTCGAGATTTTGCATTTTTAAAGGGTACCCCGACTGAAAAAAGGTTGAGAAATGCTGCTTTATATGACCCCTCATTTTAGAGTGTAAATCTTTTAAGTAAACACTATTTACTTCTTGCGAGGGTACGTGGGCAATAGGAGGTGTTTTTTGAATCGTTTTCACATTTTGAACCTTGTTAACTGAATTTAGGTGACATTCCAGACTATAAAACCGTAACCAATGATTGTACATAAACTGGTTGGAATTGCACATTATAAAGTTTATGTATTCCACTTCTAGCTCGAAAGAAATTAGCCTGGATGTGGTCGTAGTAGTAAAGTAATTTTAGGATGCAAAATCCAAGAGCAACCAACTAAAGTTTCCAGCAGTCAGATGACTGATAATGAATGGAATTGGTTGCTTTGGGTTAGTGCATTGTGCGCACCCTTTTATACAAGCCTAAAATGTGCCTGAGCAAAGGGTTTACCTTTTACAGAATTCACATAGCATAGCCAAAATGTAAGCCATGGATATGGAATCAAAGCTTTACTGGAAAGCTCATGAATATAGAATTATGCCTAAATAAGGCAGGTTCCTTAAAAGGTCTTTAAAATGAGTTTGTTTTCCAAGAGGTGTGTCATGATAAAGTCAACTGCCAAGTTCTAATTCCATAGGCTTAAAAAATTAGAAGTGTGTGACTTAAAGTAAACGTGTGCTTCACCAGCATAAGTTAAAGCTGAACTCCGGGAGATAAAAACAATTATCCTTGGAGTGAGTACCCCTCTATACTGCAAGGGTTAACTGCTGGTTTTGCCTACGGTGGGGGATGATGGAGAAAGTGATGTACTTACCTTAGTCCTCTCTCCCTCAGCAGCCGATTCTCTCCTCCACTGTCCAACACTCCAGGACTTCTGGCCCTGTATTTTATGGTATGATGTCAAAACGGCAAATGGTTGGGCAGAGAAAGGAAGTGGCTTTTGGGGTGAACCGGTTGCAGAGAGGAGGAAGCCTGCGAGCAAGGAATAAGGTGTATATATATATATACACACACACACACACACACGCCACCTTATTCATCATCCCATAGGTAAAGCAATCAGTTAAGCCTCACTGATAGGGTAAAGGATTTCCCTGGAGTTCAGAATTAACAGTACAATCTAACTGCAGACCACAAAAGCTTTCAGCCGGTACCTTTTGATCATCATTCTGCTCTTCCATTATGCAACTAACAACTTAAGAGTTGCTTTTGGAATTTCTATATCCTTGGCAGGACATAATCTATCCTGGTGATAGGTTAAGACCCCAGGCAATACACTGTGGAATGGACAATGGCTTAATCTACACAGCCAGAAGTGGAGAAATTTAAGCACAAGGAATACAAGCAGGATCAAAAGTCAACTGCCGACAACCTATGCGATCAGCAGTAAGAAAGCTCTATTGATGCACAGGTTTGTACAATTACAGAGGACACCATTTTATCTAGAAGAAATAGGAGAGAACAAACTGCAACCATTTTCACCTATGGTAACAGAATTATTAAAAAGGACAACCATCATAAAAATAACCACCACCATTAGAAATAGCTAAATCTAGAGGTTTATCAAGCCTCAATATAAAGCGGTTACATTAAAGAATTGTTTGGATCCAGGAATCGGCATGATCGGTCATTTCGAACTTCCTACAGTATGTAGTGACACTGGACAGAACCCTTGTACATAAGTGGAAAACCTCTCACTAAGGAAAAATACTAATGAAAGACTATGGGGTTGATTTACTAACCTTATAAACACACCACGAACATGTATACACCTCTGTAGTGTGTTCCCTCCCAGCATGATCTATGGATGGAATCTAAACACCTTTGTAGTGTGTACACACCCAGCAGGTGTGTTGTGCAAAGCCCTGCCCTGAATTGCAAGGTGATGTTGTGTAAATTAGCTCTACATTGTGTTGCTTGCGTTGATGAATGCAGGAATGTAAATGCATGAGCTAACCATTTTTGTCTAAACTGTGAAGCAGCATTATATATGCATCACGTGCATGATTTTTCCATATATGGCATTAGTGGAAATATGCTTAGATACTTTTTGGTTGATATACGCTTTGCTGTGTAAAAATCACACGCACCTGGTGTGTGAGTGTGTTTAGGTTAGTAAATCACCCCCTATATCTCTGTTGGCCTGTTGACACAGTGTGCATTTTTAATGGACAACTGTACCTTTTTACCGGCGCTATCCACTCAGTATGCATGCATACCACAGCATCAAATCATTTCCATGTGCAAGCCATACTCATGGCAGCCTCTAGAGGCCCAGCAGAGGGCAGCTTACCCATAGAAAGTAATGCAGAGGTGGTGCACATTTGCACTAAGAGGACAACGTTCACCAGGAAGGAGGAAGGTAAGCATTTGTCCAGGTGGGCAGGAGGACATTATTAAAAGGTCAATTATACCAAAAGCTATTTTGAAGAACCCATTCAGACTCGCATGTAATCTTCTAGTGAAAGCTTTCAAACCCATGGTAATGGTGCGTTTTTAGAACATCCAAAAAACAAAAAGAGGGCTTGTTCACAACATGTCCGGATCATGACGGACCAGAACAGTTTGATTCTGGACCAAAAAAGAATCCCAACGTATCACTATGGTATTTCTGGGCTCTGTTCACAACAGCGCAGTCCGTTCTGGTCCAAACATAACAAAAAAAAGAACGAAAGAAAACATGCAAAATTGCGGTAAAAATGCAATGCACTTGCAGATCTGCGCCAGATCTGGTCGGGACAAGCCCCCGGTCTTAAAAGTTCCTTTTACACTTTATATTACACTTTTTTTTTTAACGTATGCAAGCATGTTAAACTGCATGCAATTGGAAATACTGCATACATAGAAATGTAAAAAAGGGCCGAGGGTCATTCTTTAGCTTTGTATGCATTCTTTTGCAGTATTCACGCACTTGCACATTTCATAACGGAGTAAAAAAAAAAAAAAAGTGAAAAATTTCCATTTTACAGCAGGACAAACCTAATCTATTCTTTCAATACCTTGAAGCCTACTTTAGTAATAAAAGGTAAAGTCCCATGCCATACACAGAATAGTGGATGTATATAGCAGGTGAGAATGGAACGGACGACTGGACGTACAGAAAAGTCTGGTGTAACTGCGCCTTCAATACTAATCTATTTGTATTGTCTATTGTCTAATGGAAATGGAGTATTTTTAAAGATGGTTGTCATTTAGGGTATATTTCATACATAAAATAAAAAAGACAGAAAAGCCAAGAAAATATTGGGGTACGTTAAGGGTGGCTGAAGCACCTCTGTTGGAACCAAGTTCATGTCTGGCCTCAAGTTGGCATTCATACAGGCAAACAAAGGTAAACATTAGCTACAAAAAAAAATTGAAAAAAAACAAAAAAAAAAACAATTGGCAATCTTGCTTCCAATAAAAAAAGTAATGTATACAATGTTCATTATAACATAATACCCAGTTTAAAATCTATTATGCACGGCATGCTTATTGATTTGCCAATTGCTGCCTGTCTGCCCGCTTAATACATATTGACAATGTCAAGGAAGCACATTATGTTAGCTCAGTAAATGTAACACTGGAGATAAAAGAAAATGTAAAGACCATGCAAAGCTAACAATCTCCTAAACTAAAAGTAGCAGTACAAGTATAGAAAATGTCCATTTAAAATGAAGTATACATTGTAGTACTAGTAGTAGTGACAAAATTCATAATAGAGACATTATATCCTCCAAAATATTTCCTACTCAAGTATGTGTGGTTGTCCTACTAGAAAAAAAAAAAAAAAGTATAATGTTTTTCCTCAATGCAAACAACCACTTGTCTAAGCAAGTCTCAATCTTAGGCCAGTTTGCAAAAGTAAAAAATAGACATGCTTATATCTGATCATGGAATGGTAATGTGAGCACCTTTGTTTACTGCTCACTGTATAATTCTATACGAGGAACATAAAATGTCAATTGTGCCCACCCAGATGAACATTAAGTAAACCTCTGAGAAAAGAAAAATGGGAGCTCGCACAACTTTATTTTTACTGAGGTTTTCAGTTCTTAGTCAAACACATCCTATGGCAGGCTGGGACTTCCCCGGTTACCTGGTTGTTCCATGTCAATGTTTTACCAAGTAGATTAAAACACATGAGGTTTACTTAAATACAACTCATATGTACACTGATGGACACCTCAGCCACCACAAAGAATACCTAACTCAATGGTGGATAATAGGCCAGGAAAATTAAACATATGGCTGTTCAGAGGCTCCAGGTTAGAGACTTATGAATCAACCTGTGCAGAATTAGGACAACCAAGACATACCAGAATTGGAAGGCACATTAAGTAAGGATACACTTAAAATATTTGACTATGTGTAGTGTCTATGTGCCACTAGTTAAGAAGTATAACATCTTAATTAGAAAAACTCAATAGTAATTTTAGCGTATGTTGGAAAATCTTGAGAACACCACATCAGCATGGACATGAGAGGCTAACACAGCAAGTCCAATGTTAAGATACAAGACATTTTTCTACATCACTAGATTCAAAGCAGGCACAAAATCAACTCAGGGTTCACAAATGATATACTAACCTTATTACAGTGACGTCCAATGCCCATTAGAAAGTTGTCTGGTTTGATGTCTCTGTGTATAAAATTCTTTGTGTGTACATATTCAATTCTACTGATCATCTAAATATAGAAAAAGAGTCAATGTGCACAAATATTACTATGTTCCAAAAAAAAAAACCAATTAAATATAACACAAGACCTAGGTACCTAATAGAATACAATAGTTAACAGGCACTTCTAATAACACATTAAAAATAAAACCGTATGTGTTTTTACTGAGCATATATTTTAATTTACTAGAATTACCTTTTCCAAAGGCATTGAACTACAAAGTTCTCTGAATAGTCCCCTCTGCCATTGTGGAAGATGGGACATGTAGTCATTCAGTAGGAGGGACACTGGACCTGAAGGATGTGGCTGTGTATGTCATTTTGATTTTTTTTCCCCCACAAGTTATTTTTCCATCTGAACATTTTACCATGTTTGCTGCCATTTTTTTTAATGCAATGTAGAGGCAGGGTAGATTAAACATTTAATATATTACAGCCTACCAGTCCTTTAATGAGGTGTCTGCATGAGTCTTTACCTCCTTTTTTCAGCTAGTAATGCTAAGAATAACTCTTGTGATCTCAGGGTGGCTACACTCGCTCAAAGTATCTCTAGGGGGATGCCATGACTGGCACCCAGGTTGGATCTCAAAACATGTCTGTTCATCTGTATTAGATTGTAAGCCTTCATGGGCAGGGCTCTCCTTACCATCTTGTCTTGAATTTTATTGTAATGTCTTCCCTATATTGTAAAGTGCTGCGCAAACTGTTGGCGCTATATAAATGTATAATAATAATTACATGAGTGGTGATGGGATTTACAAGTGGGTAGCTGACAAGATAGTTGAAACATCTTACTGATATTATTTAAAAGTGACTTGTGTTAAGTGCATTTAGAAATCATGACCGTGGTTTTGTTGTTTGTTTACATCCAGTGTCAAGTCTTTACTGTCCTGGGACGAATCTGATTTTCTTAATTTATAATCTGAAGGGTTCCCTTTATTGGAAGAAACAAAAAGCAGCGTATAACACAATTCCATTGTTCCTGCACTGCACCATTCTTTCAATTTACCCTCCACAAAATCTGAGTAATAACTGCACTTGAAACATCCAAAACCTTATTTCTGGCTATCAGTTCTCAGCTTTGAGATTGGCTCACAGGCTATACTCAATCAGTGCATGTCATACAATGGTAGCCCCTATGGACACCAATTTTCCAAACAATGGAAACCACTATAGGCATGACTTGCAGTTAAAACTTGATGAGCAAATATTTATGGGGATTGTGTTGGTGGTTGAGGACAAGGCTTTTGTACATCATCACTTTGAAGTATCTTGCAATGTTAGCCGCCACCCTCCTCCAGCTTATACATATTAGACCAATTCCATTCAGATATATGGAAAGTTTTACACACCGTGGAAGCTAGAGGCAGTCGGAAAATGAACTGATTTTAAGCACATCTCCCGCTACAAGAAGAATACAACAACTCACCTGGTCTGCTAACATAAGCACAGTTTTCATTGTGAACCTGCGTGAACAAAAATTGAACAGATCTTCGAGACTTGGCCCAAGCAGATCCATGACTAGAACGTTGTAATCTTTTTCTTGTCCATACCACCTAAAAGGTAAACCATATAGATATATAGTATAAACGGCAACACAAAAACAGGGTACAGTTTTAAAATCTCACCATGAAACATGGAAAGGACAGTCCTACATCTAGAACACTTTCTTGCCCCAAATTTTACATGAGCCAAGAGGCAAATAAACTGGGGGTCCCAGACTAGAGGAGTTATTTGCTGTGCACTTAATTTTGTGTAATGGTATAACAGAATGCTTTGTTAGCACTTACAGTTGCTCTTACCATACACTTATACAACAGATTTTGCAGCAAATGGCAACCATATCACTGTTCATACACCGCAATTTACATAACTGGTAAAAAGCTGGCCAGCTAGCAGTCAAAGGGCATAATCCTGAGGACAGCACGGAATCTGCTACATGACTACCATGATCCTGGGACACACTTGTGACATAGCAAGCATAACTGGTGGATGCTGGCATTCAATACACATGAAAGTGTGGGATGTTGAAAATTCTGCTGGCAGCTTCAGCTCTGCAAGAGATTTGAGATCCAAAGCACATGTGGTGGGACAGGTAATTTAATAATGTTTCTTTGCATTTTATATTTTTGGTTTAAAAGGGGATTACAGAAAGGCATTTTCTTGCACTTCATTGGTCATACTATATGCGATCACCAAGTTTAACTACAACTTCTCAAAATTACACATTGTTGCGGCTGGTCTAATTAGCTATTTAGATACTCACTCCTAGCGCAGTGATTTTTGTATTACTATAGTGAAGAAATACTATACAGCAAACACTAACTGACCCTATTTAAGTGGAACTAAAGTTACTATATGAACATTAAATAACATGCAAGTCCACCTTAAAAGCATCAAGTCCCACACGCTCTTGCCCAGAGCAATAATGTAGGACAGCCTCTGAATTGACTCAATGCATGCACACATCCTCCATATCATAATCAAGATGCTGGGGAAGTGTTTTACCCAGTGTCTTGCAGTATCTGTCACTATAGGTCGTGAAAGCGCATATCCATCATCTGTCCTGGCATGACCGTTACCATGAAAGGATGCTACCAGGGCAGTAATGTCATTCCAGCACAGAGTAAATTGCTACATGTGCAGTTTAGTGTCCCATGAAGAGTTATATAGAGGTTGTTCTACATTACCGCTTTGTAGGATTGTGGGGGGGACTTAAATTGTAAGCCCTACCTTAAAAGTATTAACGTGCACATGGTTACTTTAGTTTTGCTTCAAGTCAAAAAGTCTACCATCTAAAAGTAACCTTTGTCAGCACTGGTCACTTGTAACTAAAAAGCATTGTCCTAACAGTAATAAAAAATTATTTTTTACAAAGCCACTATGAATTGCCTTTAACCTTTAGGTAAACATTTTAGAAGTTGGAGGAATGAAGGATAATTAAAGCTATGCATGTTTTTGCATATATCTACTGCTAGCAAGCAGTAGATATATTGGGAGGAAAAAAAAGTTTACAAAAGGGTAAAAAAAAAAAAAAAACTTACCCGTGTCTCTGCCGCACGCCTCCGTCCGAAGATCTGAAGATGCTGGGGCAGCCGCAAAGGATCATGGGGCGGGCGCATGCGCAGTACAGATCTTCGGTCGGGAGAAGGAGAGATACAGGGTAAGTTAATGCAGGCAGCGTGCACCGTGTCCCACAGAGTCTGTGGAAGAGACAGGAACCAGTGCTGGAGGGACTCCTGAAAACTACTGGAAAGAAGATGATCGGATCAAGAGGCACCATTTAAGGCAAGTCCTTGCACTAGCATGGGGGGGGGATTTTTTGACCTTAATGTCATTTTAAAGAAGAATTATGAGAGTAAAATACACTCATCCCCATAATTAGAGCAGAGGTGCAACACTGAACCTGTCACAGGTTGGCTATTGATCAAAAACTGAGCAATCACAAACCACTGATCACTCAGTTCACAATCTTCTCCCTGCAGAGAGCAGGGACTCAGTCACTGCTCCCCGCAGGGAAATCCCCCTCCCCTTCCTCCAGCGCTTACTGGCAGAGCCATCTGTCAACCAAGTATCGGGGTGGATTCAGTATCATCATAATCCCTCCCAACTGCAGTGCAGCTCTGCCCTGTTTTGGTTCACAGGAGTGCAGTAAATTAACATTTACTAAAACATTACTAAAATGTGGCCCTAAAGGGGAACCTATGGGGAAAAAAAAAAAAAAGGTTGGCACATAGTTCTCTTTTAAAAGTTTGCCCCATTTAAATATCACAAATAACTCATGTAATGTAATGCTCAGAAAAATACAAACATTCAATATTCAGTACAAGTTACTTACCGGATGTGTGGGATGCCAACTCCTCCTTGCAAAATCTTATATAGTTTACTTTCATACAACAACTGTGGGTGACGGGCTTTCTGTGACTCGAGTTTTACAGCAACTTCCTGCAAAATAAAGATTAACGATTAGCGGCATTAACATTTTTTCAGCAAATCAGAACATACTTCTTGTAATGTTTCAATCTGCACTCCGCAAACCCTACATTTTATGGATATGAAGGCTAGCCATACATGTAGAGTCAATAACTTGCTCCAGCCACACTATTAAAGGGTAAATCCAGTTTCCCAGCATATGCGAGAAGTTTAAATTACCCCCACAAATTGGACCTCAGCACCCACAAGGATGAGGTAAAGGAGAAGTTGTGTTCCTGCAGAAAATGTATTAGTCAGCTACAATACTAGCCCCAAAGATTGGAAAATACTCAGAGCTGGTAGAATTAAGAGGACCTGGTTTGCCAACATCCTGGTACTGCCTTTGTATCAAAACAATGCAAAGGACATACTTGTAGGATGCTTAAACTGCCCAAAAAATTGGCACAAGTTGGATTAGGCCATAGCTAATAGGATAGATTATATATATATACACATATACACATATACACATATACATACATACATACATACATACATACACACGTAGGAAACTTGCGGTACTGTCAGGGGATTGTGATTTTTTTTTTTAACGGTTTATAGACATGTCATTATGTGGCCATCGGTGCTAAACATCCATAAAGCCATCACTCAACATTGGCCAAAGTGGCAACAAATACAAAGGACTAGTTTGTGACTTTTGCCGCCAAAATTAGCAAAAAAAGTCAAGGGGTGCAATGCAAAGTATACTTTTAATATGTACAGAGGACATTTTTTTGAGGTATAAAGATATTGATATTTAGCACATTAAAAGCAGGTTTACCAGTCATGACCACAGCACATGCCACAACCAAGTTACTCTCGCAGAAGGCATCCAAGCTGGGAAAGTGCTAGGCTGCCATTATTGCAGGAAGTGAAGCCTCCTCAACCTGAGGTGACATTTAAACTTGCAGTACCAAGCATGTACCTTCCATCAGAGGAAAAAAGTAGAAAAGGGCAGTTATCACAGTAAGAGGGGATGGGTGCATCTATAAGCCAAAAGTAAAAATTTAAGTAGAACTATAGGCTAAAAAAACCAAACACAAACTTCTAAATGTTGTGTAGTACAAGAAAAGGCATATACAGTAGCTGTCTTTTGTGATTGGAACAATTTCACAAGATTCTGTCTAAAGCCTTGTATTTGTTTTCCAACTTCCTTTAGGTGCAGTGACAACTCTTAATTATCCTCCCCGAACATATTCCATTGTTTGTGTCCACTGAGCTATCTGAAAATACAGCGTGGCGCTGATATGTGGTCATTTAGCATACAGAGCATATAAAATCGCTTCTACAAACTGCACCAAGACCTGCCTCATCGAACCAAGCAGCATCCACCTTTACTGCAGATTGACAGCACAGCTGAATTCTGCCCGAGACATTCCCACATACATACACTTTGTATGGCAATAACACTATGAATGCTCGGAGATGTAGTTTGTAGTCACTTCCAAACCCTCCAGATAAAATGGGGAATTGCTGGATAACCCCACACCATTGGGATTGGAAGTTCATATGAAATAAGACATTCATAGAGACCTTAGTTTCAGTAGGAGACTTTGGTCTGTTTCTCTGTTGCAAATTTCCCCTCACTTCTCATCTTGTAAAATGTTTCCCCCCAGGAAAATCTCTTGAACGGAGCTCCGAATAGAAAAACGTGACTGAGGTTCTAATCTTTTTCTCACTATACAAAACTAATAAAAAAAAAAAAAAAAGAAGAAGATGAACCAAGGCCTCAGTGCTGAAAGGTTCGATAAATGTGGCTAAAGTGTCCATATGTGTTGAAATCCCCATTTTACGTGCTGCTGCTACATTTTCTTCCACAGGGTGTATGAAGCCTTGCACAACATGTCAAGTACATTTGTATATCTATGACCAAAAAGCAGACGCTGCATACAACCTGCAAATGCCTTTACTATTAAGAAAAAGCTTTATACCAAGGATCACACGCCTCCTCCAACAACCATAGTCATCCACGGAGAAGATCTGTCACAAATCTAAAACAGTGCCATCACAGGACTACTGATCCCCACATAATCCTGCATTCTGAGAGAACAGGATACATTATCAGCTGTACAAGAAAACTGAGGAGCAGCTGCCAAGGAATCCATGACCACTGTGACACACACACACACACAAACACAGGTCACAAGATCAAGAGGTAGCTTCCATCCAGAATGCAGCCCACACCTCCATGAAATCAATAAAGTGCATCTTTAGTCAAAACTTATTTTTGGGATATAGCAGGGAAGGATTAGATCCTTAGGTTAAGTTTTTATCACTGGCTGTGTACCCAGTAAGGAGGTTCATTTTCCAGTCCCGATAACTACAGTCACTCAAAAAATAGTGAAGGGATATCCAAAATGTTATAGCTGTCCCCAGAACAAAAAAAGTTACAAATAAATCTTCCAAAGGGGAACCCTGCTCTGGGAACAACTTAATAGAACTACCCTCACTCTCCATTGTACACAAAGAGCAAAAAAATGGCAGTACACTGTACGTCGTCAGTCACGAAGGGGTTAACTCTTGCAGTGGGGGTAGCACCACTGCAAGGGGTAAGAATAATTCTGCCCAGAGTTATTAAGTAGTGGGGTGGATTACTAAGGAATTGAGGCTGCTTACTTTGCAATGGGTATGTTTGTTAAAAAAAAAAAACCTTGTTTTTACACTTGCCTTTACTCAGAATCTAGCCCTCATTCACATCCAAATGACATTGAATATGCGCGTTAAGTAGCATGCTTTCGCACATTGTTACGCACGTACATACAACTACGCGTTTGTGCAAGCAGATCTTGACACATTAATATGGATGAACGAACACATGTAAAAATGTGCGTACACACACACACACACACACTATGGGGCCAAGAAGAGCAGAATCTGCCAAAAACAAGTTTATGTACTTTCCTCAAGCGACGGGCGTTTTGCTACAAGTGACAGAACACTTAGGCCCCGTTCACATTGAGCGGTTCGCAAATCGCGCGTTTGTCGCGCGATTTGCATTTTGCCCGATACCGCGCAAATGCTTGCATTGAGCAAGCTTGAATTGCGGCTAAATCCGCTCCAAAAAAGGGTCCTGCTGTAGCGACACACGACAGCAGGACCCTTTACCCGATTAAGCATTGGAGAGCGATATCGCGCGCTAAATTGCCACGATATCACGGAAATTACCGTGCGGTAAATCGCTCAATGTGAACAGGGCCTTAGATGTGAACATGGTCATAGAAAATAAATTGGGATATCTTTGGGCAGAAAAACAATACAAAATGCTTCGTTTGAACGAGAACTGAGTGAACAGATTCAGCTTATTTACAAAATGTACAGATATTACTTTAGTAAACCAACCCCGATGCCCTAAGTGTTCTTTATCCCCAACCCAGTTTACAAGCTTTCAACTTATTTTACATATAAAAAGTAGCTATCTAGGGAACATCTGTGCCCTGGAACCGAGAACTCTTAAGGTGCCCATACACCTTACGATTATCGTACGATAATCGTATGCGATCGACTTTTCGTACGACAATCGCAACGTGTGAATAGAGTGCCCGACCGATAGTACTGTACAATCGTACGACTTGACGGTCAAGCATGTTTGAAAACTTTGGTTGATCGTACGATGTTCGCATGGTTGGTGGCGTTTCCGTCCGTCAAAAGTCGTACGATTAACACTGCGCATACGAAAATTGCGGTCAATTACCGCAAGTCGTCCAGGTGTTTTTTTCTAACTACCGCTGATTGAACACTGCGATAATAGGGGCAGGATGGGGCCGTCGTACGAAAATCGTACGACGGTTCGATCATCGGACGAAAAGTTTAGTCCGATAATCGTAAGGTGTATGGGCACCTTTACTCATTGTGCTTCCAAGAAACAAACTTGGAAAACATTTCCCAAAATGCACCAGACTCCTGATAGGCTCCAAACTATTGCAGGCAGCTCAGTGTCAGTTTACACCACGGTGTTTATTAAACAGGGAAAGAGGAAGAATATTTTACAGATGACATTTCTTGGTAAAGGTTAAGCAGAACTAACTATACATTGTAGTACGGTTTTATGAGATTTTCCAGTTTGAATGAGGAGTCCTCCATAAAAGGGGTAATAAAACATTATGAGAAATGACAAATTAGAAGACAACTTTCCAGTAGTCATGAGGGAGATCCATTCATACAGAACAAATGTAACAGTAAGGTCACCAAGGAGTAGGAGCAATTCAAAACAGAGCACAGCGGGCACATGTTGGTGTATTAAGGCGCATTCTTAGGCCACTAATACAAAATGACCATAAAATACGTCCTGCTGGATTTACTTTTTACAGTGCGCAGCACACTAAGGCATGCATGGTGCACTACCAGAAAGCACTAATGTGAACAAGGCCTAAAAGTTACAAGTCAGCTTTCTTCTATAGAATATACAAAACAATTGTTTGAACTTGACTAAACATGAACGTTGCTTATTTGCTCTCCTTTGGTCTAGAAATATATTACAGAAAGCACATTATATCTGCTCGATAAATGCAAGGGGAAGGGGCGTATTAAGCCCTGAGGCAACAATGCTGCTTTTCCATACAGTACAAGTAAACATTGTCACCTTCAGAATAGAGCCATGCACTGGTCGAATTTCCCACAGGCTGTTGTATTCTGACAAATGTCCTGACAGTGCCATACACTGGTCCAATTTTGGCGGAATCAGGAGGAGCTGAAAAAAAACTGTTGCAAAAAAATCTTGGACAAACAAGGACTACAGCCAATTAGCTGCGGTCAGTCATTGTGATAGATTATATAGATATATGTGACACTCCTTCACAGCTGCCTTCTCACCAGGTGTCCTCCCACGTAATTTATGGTATCAGACATCACTGCCGCTCCCCACGCAAGTGTTCAGCTCAGACCAGAGTATTGTCAGATCACATATCCCCATACCCAGAAGCATTGTTTACTTTACATTGTTTTCATTCACAGCTGTGTTCCAGAGCTGCAGGAAA